CAACTTAAAATGGAGATCTTTCAAGTTTCTGTTTTGCATTGCAAGGTTATTAATAATGATATATAATACTAACAATCAGTTTCCTTTATGGAAAGCACACTGTTAGGCAGGCACTGTGCTGAGAACTTTACATGCATTTTTCTATTTGAACCTTCCCTCTAACACAATCCTGTGTATTGTTTTACCGTTTTGCTGATTAAGTAATGTCAGAGAAATCATGCATATACAAAGGTACCTATTAGCAAGCACAGAGCAGGAATTCAAATTCAAGTGTGTCAGTTGCCACTGTCCAAGCTCTTAACTACCTTCTCACAAGTGAGAGAGGAAAGGAGCAAGGACAAGAGATAGCCAGACACCTTGCTGGAAATGACCAAGATTGCCGTGGAAGTTGCTAGGAGAGAGAAACCACCAAGTCACAACTTTCCTTCCAGAGCACAGCACATTCCTTTTCAAAGCCTTGAAAATAGCTGGCTACTCTGCAGCCCTGTTCTCAGGGCTCAGACAACACCTAGAGGAAGTGAGTCCCATAAAACATGGCTGCAACTTTCTCTTCCTCCCACTCAAGAGATTGTCTGGGATCTCCTAGTTCATGTGCCCTGTCTTCAGGCAGTTTTGTCCACTTAGGTTACCAGCATAGCAATGGGAGTCTCTATGGTTTTTAGGAGCCTACAGAAAAGTTTGAGCCCTGAAACTTGTATTATTAAACCCACAATACACTGAAGAAAACCACAACACTGAAATTAGTAAACATTTAATTAAATGCAAAGTGTAGCATTATGACAACTTCATTAACTCATCACATTTGATAATAATTTGTAGGTTGGGGTTTTTGTCACTATGCAAGATTCCCCAAGTAGGCACCAAGATTGGTGAGAAATCATAGCTGATGGTAAATTAAATAAATTACTCATAGCCAAAAACTTTCAAAAGCGAAATGGCAAAAATCTTCATGATTTTCTTATATTGCTGAAAAGTTATATTGTCAGGGTGGGTGTGTTTAATAAAATAAATTAGGAGAAGAATAGGGCCTGCAGAATAAGTAGTGAAGATTATAAAGAGCGTAGTCATTGTCCACCTTTCTGGGTTTTCCAATGTGGCTACATTTGTGTTAGAGATGGAAAACAGGTGGATAAAGGGTTTGGAGAAAAAGTAGGAAACATCACCGCCCTCTGAAGGGAGATGCTCTGGATAGGAAAGCAAAAAAATCCCAGAATCCTACCCCGTGATAGCTAGCATTCATTGGAGACATAAGATGTGCCAGCCTAACTTCTAAATTCTTTATATGTATTATCTCAGTTGTCACTAAACAACCCTATAATGTCAGCATTTTCTTATCTTTTTTGTGCAGGAGCTAACCAAGCACAAAGAGGTTAAACAATCATCCCAGGGTAATATGGGTAGCAAGGGAAAATTAAAGAATGTTTCCAAGCTAAAAATAATTTCTATAGATGAAATAGTGCCTGTGACCATTCAATGCCTTACTTTGAGCTCTAAAAAAAGACAGGGACTCAGCCTGTCTTCTACTCTATCTTCAGCACCTGCAGCAGTGCCGGGCAGATACATATCTGTGCAAGAGGTACACAATACAAACTTGAATGAAGACTAGATAAGCTCAGTTTATACCACACCTGCCCCAGGCGCTTAATGGAACATTTTGCCTCTTTCACTAGACCATGACTCTGTCTAGGATTGAGGATCTATTCATCTCAATTCCTTGTGCTTTGCACAATTGTGGCCCATGATAGGTGTTCAAAAACAGAGTTTGGAAAGGCTTATGTGATGATCTGAGTGTATCACAGAACAATTTCTCCAGTACATACAGCTAACATTCTCCCTCCCTATGATAGCACAGAAGCTGTTGCTCAGAAACTCCAAAGGCATACATTTCAGTGTAATCAACAAGCAAGCCAATGCATAGCACTTTTATGTGCCTCTTCCATGCCAGGTGTTGTTCTAGCAATTACTAGGTGTTAAGCAATTACTTGGTAATAGAATATTACCACAATTCTACAAAGCAAGTGTTCTTTATTATCATCTTATTTTATAGAAAAGGAAACCAAGTGTTTGGTTGAATTATATCCCCCTAATACTTTTTTTTTCTTTTTTGGTGTGTGGGGGGGTGGGTGTTGTTTTGGTTTTGGTTTTTGTACCAGGGATTGAACTTGGGACCTTGTGAGGCAGGTGGCGGCACCACTGAGCTAAATCCCTGGCCCTCCTCCTAATAATTGTATGTTAACATACTGGCACCCAGTGCTTCAGAATGTAGCTGTATTTAGAGACAAGGCCTTCAAAGAAGAGATTAAAATAAAATGAAGATATGGGGTATGCCCTAACGCCATATAACTGGTGTCTTCTTAAGAGAAGATTAGGGTAGGGAAACTATGTGAAGATACAAGAAGAACACAGTGCCATCTATACACTATGCCCCAGAAGGAAACCAATCCCGATGGCACTTGGACTTTAAATTTCTAGCCTCTAGAACTGTGAGAACGTGAATTTCTATGCCTTAATGGGTATTCTGTGGTACTTTGTGTGGCAGTTACAGCAAATTAATACACCAAGCCACAGGGTAACTTGCCCCGGTCTACAATGCCAGAAAACTCAGAATTTGATGAACTCTGTGCCTGAGCCTTTGTAGTCTGGCTCTAGAGTCCATGTGCCATCCAGTGTGACAGCACTAGGCGCACATGGTTATGAAGCACTTGAAATGTGGCTTGTGCAAGGGAGGAGCTGAACTTTCTAATTAACTTACACTAACAAGTAAAATAACCCCACATGCCTATAGTGTCAACCATATCAGACATAGCTTTATGTAGTTTCTAAGTACACAAGGTTTTTGCGGAATCTTCTAGAAGCCCCATTTCTCTGTGTGCTCTAAAATACATGCTTCTATTTTTGTTCTCTATCCCTATTTTTTATTTTATTTTATTTTTGCATCTTTTACAGCTCCCCCCACCCCATTTCCTGATTTCCAGCTAAAGTGTGAGGCTGGGGGTGGCAGGTGAGGTGAGCTGGCTGATTTCCAGAATCCTGTGGCCTGGGCAGTCAGGGTCTTTGGTGCTCGGTTCTAAGCATGGGTGTTAGCCAACCAAATGCCAAGCAGCACAAACACTGAGTGACATTTTCAGAACTATTAATATTTCATCAGAAATGATCACTTTTCCTTTAAATACACTATCTTAAAAGGTTTTCTACATTCTTAACTATAATTTTATTCAGTCTAGGTCCTCTGAATTTTCCCCGAAGGAGCACATCTTCAATTTTATAATGAAAATCAAAGGGGAATGAAGCTTGGATTTCAAAACTCAGAGTCAACATTTCCAGGAACTCAGCCCCTCTGTAAAGAGCAAGATTGTGTATTGGGCACCTGCTGTGTCTGAACTTTACATATTATATACAATTAGTTCACAACATATATTTATCAAGTGCCTACTAGGTGCCAAAAATGTGAACTTATAATAACTTAAGCCATTGTTTCAGAAAATGTACTTCCATTTTATTTCAAACATTGACTTTTCAATGATCCATGCCTTGACTGCCACTAATGTTGCCTCCTTCCCTCCCTATCACCTTGCTTTATTAGTTATTTTTACAAGAGCCTTGATTTCATGTAACCACTGCTTTTTCACTGGCTTTGTTGGTTGTTGGTGAACTGTCTCCCTCCATTGGAATATGGGCTCCAGGAGAACAGGAGCAGCTGGTGCAGCTCACCCTTTTGATTCTCCTGCGCCCAGCAACTCAGCTGGTAGGGAAGGAGGGCTCCCTGGGTATTTGGGGAACAAAGGAGGAAGGTTGTCAGAGTCACACAGCTGGGGCTGTCGGTGTCAGGATCAAGGGAGCTCCACCTCAGCTTTTTCTTTCTTTCTCTGCCTCTTCCGGTCTTTCCCAGGGGAACCCCGGGAGGAACATCCACAGACAACACCACGCAGAGGACTTGTGTCAGATCTCAGATGAAGAAAAGCTGCTCCGATGACGGAGGATTCTCTTGCTCAGCAAAAAGCTAACTGAGGCCTCTTTTCACACATGCACTACCTGTCCCCCAAACCTAGGACCTCCTGGAGCCCAGTGTTTGAATCTGGTGGCTAAGGACACACACAACATCCGGCCTAACATCTTGGAGTTTGAACCCCAGCTTCTTGGTGGGCCTTAGACGATCTTTTATGACTCTGAGACTCAGTTTCCTCCCATCATGTGAGAGGATCATCAGGATTAAATATGAACCAGGGCTTGGCACAAGGCCAGCAGCACCCCACGTAGTGACCACCAGGGTTCAGTTGGGACTAATAAAGGGGCAGCCCTCACCCCAAAAGCTGGGAGGTTTGCTCACAGCCAGATCGCCTTTAACTTCTAATGGGAAAAGCGCCCTGGGGCTCCTGCTGGCCCCGCCCCACCCCCACCTGCTGGCCTTGGGCACGGAACCCCAGCGCCCCGCGCGCACCGAGCCGTTGCGTTTGAACCCCACAGAAAGAATACCAGGGCAAGACGGCCAGGGGCTGGGAGTTACTTGGCAAGAAAATTGGTTCAAGCCCTCTGGAGAGCCTGGCCCACCCAGCCGAG